TGTACCAAACAAACTGTGGTCTACCAAATATAAACCCTCCAAAGTTTTCTATGCAGAAAGAGTCTGGGACCAAATAACTTTAAGAAATACTGTTTATGCTTCTGTTTATGGTGGGCCCACTGCTTAGTCCTATAAAAAAGGCGTAGACAAGTCCTGTGATAAAGAACCTGTTGAAAACTCTTAAGTTTCAAGATCCCCAAACTTTTTGCTAAGGTACACTCTTTCTGAGTAACAGCCACAGGATGCAGTAGAAGCAGTAGTTGTAGGACACAGTCTGGGAAACCCTGACCTTGATGATCTTTGAGGTTGGTTCCGGATCTAGAGCTCTGGTTTACGCATTGATGATAGTTCACATGGACCTAGCATGGCAGGAATGAGGTGCTAGACAGTTAACTTTCAGTGTAAGAGGATGGGTATATTAGGGTTCTGTAGAGAAACAGAACCAATAGGATGTGCAAATGTGTGTGTGTGTAGAGGAAGGCAGAGGTTGATTTAGGAAATTGCTTTACGTGATTGTGGGGGCTGGCAAATCCAACATCTGCAGGGCCAGCAGGCCACAAGCTGGAGATGTATTGAAGAGCTGGTGATGCTGTTCAGGTCCAAGGGCCATCTGCTATCAAATTCTCTTTTCCTCAGGGGAGGCCAGTCTTTTTTCTCTTAATGTTTTCAACTCAATGAATGAGGCCCATCTGCTTTATTTAAAATATATGGATTTAAATGTTGATCTTGCCTAAAAAATACCTTCACAGAAACATCTAGAATAATGTTTGACCCAATATCTGGGTACTGTAGTCCAGTCAAGTTGACATATAAGATTAATCATTGCTACCCTGCCTGGTGTGGCTCAGTTGGTTGGAGCTTCATCCTCTAAACTGAAAGGTTGAAGGTTCAGTATCCCGTCAGGGCACATACCTGGGTTATGGGTTTGATCCCCCTGGTCAGATGTTTATGGGAGGCTGATTGATGTTTCTCTGTCTCTCCCTCTACCCCTCGCTGCCATTCCCTTCCTCTTTCTCTAAAGGCAATGAAAAAATGTCCTCAGGTGAGGATTAAAAATAAAAAGATTAACCATCATTGTGGCGCCAGCAATTATGGTGGTGGTGAACTTTTGATGGCTGGGAGCCACTCAGGAACCGCACCTTGAGGGGAGGTGTGGGCACTGATATACTGTGCCCACTTTGTCATTATGCCATAGTCTGGCTATCACAGTGATGTTTCAAAAGCATTGGCCAGTAGGTTCTGAAATTGATAAGTAGGACACAGAAGAACAGGCCAGTTAATTCTGTGAGATAGATATGATCTGCCATGTGCTTCTCCTACCATAACTGAGAGATAATCTTTAGTGATCTGTCACATAGAAAAGGAAAGCAATGTAATCAGGATGACCTGTGAGCTCATATGTTTATAATAAATAAAGGTGTTCCTAGGCTGCGTAAGTGAAAAGTTATCTAAATTTTTGTTGCGCGTGGGTCACCGGCTAGCAGTGACCACGGAACGCTGTGGATGGCTCGACAATAAACACGCGAGAAATAACAACATGCACAGAGACAAACTAGTTTCTGTGGGGAAGTAGGGACGGAATGGCCACCCCCCCTAGTGGGGAGCGCGCGATTTACAGTCCATACCTGCTTTTATTGGGCTCATGCTACATAATAACTCAGGTAAAGTACAGTACTCATTAGGGGAAGTAAGGAACTATAGAAAACAAAGAACTCTGCCCGTCTATTGAGTTGGGGGTCAAAGAGCTGTAAGACTGAGGAACAAACTTCCTTCCTCCTAAGACCCTTCTCATTCAACTGAGAGCATTCCAAACAAAGAAGGTTTCACAGTAATTTACATGTTCTTTCTTAGGCCTGATCACCCCGGGAAATCCGCACTTCCCAGTACCGAGCTGTACTACCCTGTCATTGTTTCAGGCTTAGGTGGAGCGCGGGAACTAAGGCCACCGAGAGATAAGGAGATTTTCTTCCAGACGCTGAGAACTCAGACTTTGTCAAAGCCGAGGAGTGAGGGTCCATCACCCCCCTTTTGCTGCAGCCCCCCCCCCAAGTCCTTCTTTTGGGGGGCCTCCCAAAGTGATCGTGCCTGGCTTGGGTTGTTCCCCCCGTGGGGAATCTTACCCGTCTTTGGCTAACCGACCAAGCTTTTTGGGGTTCAGCAGCAGAAGCAGCATTCCTGCCAGGAAGATAAGCTTTTGTCTCCTTGCCGGCTCACGGTTCCAAGGGCGTTCCCTTAGCCTTAGCCTAGGCGGGGGTTTCAGCTTCTGATACCAGTCAGGGCGGTTCCCAACAAATTTTTAATTCAGATAACTGCAGGGGAATGGAAAGAACCTTTAGCAGGTGACTCTAATAAAGAGATGAGGTCCTTCCATTCCCTGTTAGGCAAAATGAGGCTCAGCTACTAATTGGTATAATTTGCAATGAAAGTAAAAAGATTTTCCCCTTTTGCTCCTTTCTTCAGCATTGGAGAACCTAGGCTGTCTTTTGGCTGCCCTCTCTTTCCTTTATGAAGTTCAAGTTGCTTTGGGGTCTTCTTCTGAACCCCCTTCCTGGAGGATAACTGGTAGCCTGAGTAATGCCCTCAAGGTGACTGTGCTGAGTGGTCCTGGGTGACACTAGAAAGAGTCAGAAGTTAGTCTCTGGATCTTCAAAAACCCTTGTTAAAATTGATGTGGTATGTTTTTAGGGAATTCTTTTAAGGTAAGCTGGAATTGATCATTATCATTTATAAAGGATTCTTGTTGATTTAAAAGAAGTCACGCCAAAACAGAGCAGAAGGTTGTGATTGTGTGTGTGTGTGTGTGTGTGTGTGTGTGTGTGTGTGTGTTGCTATGGAAATAATCGAATAAAAATTGTATTTCCCATTACACCTATTGATTAGAAAGAAGAGAGGTGAATAATAAAGTATGAATAAAGAGGAGACAAGGGCTTAAATTAACAATAGTGAGGAAAAATAACCACCCAAGGGGTTTCTCCAAGGAAGCGGATCTCACTGAGTAAATAGCTCTGTTCCCTTCATGCTGCTTCCTTGTGGTGCAGGTGAACCTGCAGAGGAACTTCAGGGATCAGAAGCTTCAGGAAGCCCCTGGTTGGAGCTCCTGGGGTGAGAGGACACTTTGTGAGTTACATAGAAACCAACTGCTGGCACTGGGAGCTGTACCAGAGCAGCTTTTGATGCCAGATTTGTTTAAAGTTCAAAAGTCAAAAACAGGGTTCTTTGAGATGGTCCAGTTCCAATAGATTTCAGAGTGTATTGTTTAAAAAGTATTTTATTAATATGTGAGGACTTGGCTCACATGTAGGACTAATGGACAGATCCTTTACACATTACTGAGAAATAATTGACTTGAAAGTGTTTTGTCTTCAAATCTTATTTTAATTATATATCCCCTTAAATATGGTAATGGGTAAGAATGAATAATATTTTTGTTTTCCTAATAGTAAGTGCTACTATTTAATTAAAAGTGTAATTTGACTTGAATCTATGTCTGGTGGAAGCCTAAATGATGGGATCACCATCTCATATTTTAGAAAGCTCTTTCTATCTTAACCCAGGTGCAAGGCTTGGCTGCACAGTGCAATCATCTGGGAGTTTGAAAAATCCCAGTGTTCAGACCAATTAGAGCAGAATCTAATGGGTGGGGCCCAGGAAGCAGTATTTTTAAAACTTCTCAGAGAATTCCAGTATTCAGGGTTAGAACCACCAATCTACGTGGAAATAAATTCTATAGGGCTGGTGGACACTTGGTAATACACTTTGTGAAAACCCACCTCCCCAACATTCCTCCTGGTCTTCCTAGAGCTCTGCTGTCCCAATGGGGCTAAAATCTCAGGGTCCATTCTGTCTTCCTTCCAGTGGCATGCAGATAAGTGTTTACCAATCCACACTTTGGAATAAAAAACCCCCTGACTTGTAGCACATGCTGATCTCCAGATTTTGTAAACACAACCAGCATGGTCCATTTTACCTGGCAGTGTGCTCCCACTGAGCAAGGGGCTGGAAGGAGAGGTGTACTGTCCTCTCCCAGGCCAATGCAAGCCTGCTCCAGACACCAGTGCCTCCTTCTCAGCTTCACATTTGTTCCCTCTCTCCTCTGTGCCACCCCAAGATACTCCAGTCTCCCTAAGGTAGCACTATGGGGTTTGTGCCAGCTTGTGTGAGAGCTGGCTTACATGGTTTTTCTGCACAGGGAGCATAAAACCTCCTCCTGCTTAAAGAGTATAGGAAACCTTTGGAAAACACCAAGGGAATGTGTCAAAGGCTGGGAATATTTGGGCAATTGGCCTTCTGGATTATACTTGATCCTGTGAATCTGACTAAGGTGTGTTGTCATAGATCAGCTTCAGGTGTCTGAGCTGTCATATGAAGTTTCTGAGCCTACAGAATTGAGGGCCAAGCTCTGCATCAGAATAAATCCACCAAGGGAACTCCTGGCAGGCAGCACACCAGTCTGCTGGGGTTGACTGACTTCAACTTCAATGTGGGTTACATGCCTCTACTTCTCCTCCCTCATTACAAAGCACTTCCAATGGCTTTTCTTCTTGAATGGCTTCCACACAGCAGAGAAAGCTCAGTAGATGCTACCTTCCTTCGGCAGGTGAAGAATTCGCTGAAACTCAAAAGAGGTTAAGTGGGATGACTTGACCAAGTTTGAGAACTTGCCCAAGTTCATAAGTGATGGAGACAGGATTTGAACCCAGACTTTCTGACCCCAAGTTTAATACTCTCCCAACACACATCCTTGGTTTGTTGGCCATCTCCACCTCTGCATGGGGCCAGTCAAATTGGGTAGAGGAGAAAAGAAGATGAAGAGTAGCAGATTCCTGCCTTCCAGTCTTGTGAATGAATTCTTTGCCAGTCCTGCTTTCAAAAGCATTCTTCCTGAAACGAGTGGGCCCTCACAAAGAATATGTTCCCCAGCTTGGTAAATATTAGGGTGGGGTGAAATATGAATGGCTTATGTAATATGGATGGCTAATAAATTGTGATTCCAAACATAGAATCAGGAACCTCCATTGGAAATGAATCAAATCCAGAAGACATCTGGGACTCTAAGAAGTGGCTGCAGAAATATGGCTTAAAAGCCCAAAATCTGTCATTTTATGATGTCCTTGCTGACTGCTCCTTCCGCCATGCTGATGGAGTTGTTGATATAAAAGCCAAGCCTGAGAACGAGTACATACAGACCAGTGCGGTAAGTGCACTCCCGGTGGAGCTGTGGCCTTCTCTTGATACCCTAAGCAGGTAGGTAAGGCCTCTCTTAGACCAGAACTCATGGCAGGACCAAGGTTAAAGGCCACATGGAGGGAAACTGGCTGCGGTTTCCATGCAGAAGAATGTTCCTTCTTCTTCTCATCATATACTCTTCTGAGTGGAGATCAACTCTGGGAATGGTTCCTTGAAATAAGTGAATTATACAATAATTATACATAAGCCAAGAGCTGGGCTTGTAGAAATTCAGGAATTTTGAGTCTCAAAATTATTCAACAGTATTTCTAAAGAGAAGCCCTTTGCTCCTCCATATTGAATAGAAGAAAGAAACTACTGGTAAATATGCCCAGAGCAGGCATTCCTAGTATGGCCCTCTTGTATTGCCACTATCCCCAAGATGCACTAGTCTTAGACTACCAGCCCGTATTTAGAAGATTCCCAATAAACACAAAATCAGATTCTTTAAGGAGTTATAGCACTGGAAGGGTGAATATTGAGAACTTTTGAAAGCTGTAATTCTGTTATGTCAATGAGTCAGAAAAGGGTATAGCTTCTCTAAATGCCTGACTCGGGCTTACAATGGAAGGATGATGATCTCTAATAATGGCTCCTAAATATCAGCATACATGAGTCAGTAGGCACAGGGTTGGAATGCCAAGAATTTGCATTTATAACAATCTTCAGATGATGCTTTGGTCCAGGGAGCCACGCTTTGAGAAATACTGATATATAAATAAAAACCAGAACTATCAAAAGTTAGAATTACAGAAAGACTAAAAAGGTGTCACAATATGAAACAGAAAATTGGGATAAAAAGAATGTTCTAAATTTATTAAAACTGAAGGAAATCCCTTTGAGAAGGTGGTAAAGGCCCAGGTACCCACTGTGTAGTGTGCTAAAATGCCAACAACACAGCAGACCTGCCGGTAATGTCAACTTCACAGACACGACTGGGAGAGGAACTCAGATCCTTCTCCAATGCAAGCCACTTCGTGTTATTCTCTGAGTCTCCGATGCAATGTCAAGATTGTCACTGAGATGTCTGTCCAGTCAGAGGTGAAACCCTAGTCTCTCTGACACTCCCTGGGCTGCCTGCGCAGGGCTCCTCAGGGAAGGGCTCTTTCTTTCAGGGTTACAGTAGCCACATGATGTTGTCTGTTTGCCCTCTTACTGCTGTGTGTTGGCAATGAACTGCAAGAAGGAAAATAGAAAAATTCAATTAGAAGAAAAATGCAGATTTGACACCAGACCTGTTTCCTGGCATATCTACTGGGATGCAGAGTAATTGCTGCATTGCAAGAAAATCTCATTTGTTTCCTCCCCAGCACAGTTTTCTGATTTTGTAGACATTATTCAGTACTGTTATTAGTTCAGGAAATCAAACTTAACTAAATTTTCATTGTTTAAAATACATTCAGACCTGGATATTTAAAAATATAAATCCCTGTCCATTTGAACACAGCTCACTGCAACCTCCTGGCAATGTGGTGGTGCGCTCAGGTTTCTCTCTAATATGATTTTTCTCCTGTTCTTCCTTGACAGTTTTATATGAAATTTTATAGGGAGAGCTTGAATAATTTGGCTTTTAAATGGGGAATTTTACCTCAAATTTCTTGTTCTATCAAATACTAATATAGTAAAGGTTGAGAAATATATAGTACAACTATCTTCTTTCACAAATATTGGTGAAAAGGTAACAATTTTATCTTTAGTATTTGGTGCTACATATCTGAAACTGAATTTATACTAAAAATTATGATAAGTTAGGAAGAAACTGAGGCTGTGAAATAAGCAGCTTATTTAGGGTCCTCACATACTCCCACTGGGCAGGCCCCTAAATTTTAACTATAAAAACCAGTTTGTAGGTTTTTATACTGACCTAGGAAACTCATTTGCACTGAGATAAATGACTAAAAAGGCCTTGCTGTGTAGCATTCTAAGAAAAATGAGCAGGTAGGAGGAGGGGACAAAAATTTATTTCTAATTAGGAAATTTCAGGCAAAGTTCAGTAACTTGGTATTTTGGGCCACCCCCAAAATCACATCACATTTGTGGTTGCTTATGCTGCTTATGTACCAAGCCAGCCCTGATGTTCAAAAGCCCACTCTAGTATTACCATTTGCTCCTCTAACAAATATTTATTGAGCCATCACTCTATACCAGGCAGTGGGGTTTGGTAGACAGTGCACCAAATTTGGAGTAAGAAGACCTGGGTATGAATGCTGTTTCTACCAGTTATTAATTATGAGATGTTGAGGAAAAATTTAGCCTCTTTGAATCTCACCTTCCACATCTGTAATGTGTGTGGTTTAAAGTCCAAATTTTAAAAATGAATGTCATTCCCTGATTGGGTGGCTCAGTTGATTGGAGCATCATCCCATACAACAGAGTGTGCAGGTTCAATTCCCAGTGAGGACATATATACTTAGGTTGTGGGTTTCAATCCTAGTCAGGGTGCATACAGAAGGCAACTGATATCTCTCTCTCGCTCTCTCTCTCTCTCTTTCCCCTACCCCATCTCTCTGCCCTCTCCTCACTAAAACAATAAACATAACTTCAGGTGAGGATTTAAAAAAATGCATGTCTGAGCACAGTGCCTGGCACTTAGATGTCCAGTAGATGTTACCTGCCTTCTTTTCTTTATCAAAAACATGGTGAGTCAGAAATGAGCATTTATGGAGTGCCCATGTGCTTTCTATATAAGGTGAATGTGCTCTCATATCACACATGAGAAAACAAAGTCACAGGGGCTCTGAAAGGCTAGGCAACTTACCTGCCATCTCATGGCAGGTGGAGGCATAGCTTGAACTTGGATCTGGTTGGCTCTCACACTGTGCTCTTCCCATTCTGAGACTGTGCTGCCTAACAACTGTATTCACGTAAACTTATGGTCTGGTGTGTTTCTATTTGCAAGTGCTTAAGACGCAGTTGGCAGATGCCATGTGAAGAGATTGAGTGTAGGGAAACCTCTCATGTGCCTCTCATCTGCAGGAATGTGTGAGAATGAGAACATCTTTCTCCTTCCCTCTTGCACCACTGCGGAGGTGTGGTTCCCCTCTCTGCCTGCCTTGGCAGCATCAGGGCTGATCTTATCATGCCCTTCGAACCCTGTTCACGTCAGTCACCACTGAACCCCTGAATCTCATTCATGTGTGTCTCTGACCTCCCTTCTCTGAGCCTCCTGCATTCCTCCCTGACTCCTAGAACTCTTTTACTGTGACCCTGGACCTAGAAGTCATCAGCAAACCACCCCCACCCAGAGCCTCAGGCATTCTGAAATGTTCCCTTCTTCTGCTTGTTTGGGTTCTCTCAAGGGCCCTGGTTTCTTTGCCCATCTCCTGTGGGCCTGGAGGTAGGCCGTCACCTCTTTGCTGCTTGATCATTCTCCTGCCCTCCTCCCATGTAATCAGAATGTGGCTGTTACCTACTGAGGCCCAGGTTATCTCTATCAATCCTTGAAGATTAAGCTTCTGGCTTGCTATCGCTGGCTCTGTTTCAATTCTTAGTAAGGTCAATACCATGTGAATTACCCTTCCAATAGCCTGATCTTTCATTTCTCTGACCTACTCTTCTCTAATGGCTTTCTCCTCCACTCCATGTCTACCATTCTTGTCATAGGCATATCCTTGACCTTGTTGTTTCAAATAGCTGTGTGATCATAAACCACATAATCAATTTCAAAGGTCCCACTATCTGATGATCACTTTTTTAAGTCATTTCCTCTGCTGCTCTAATTCCATCAATCTTTCAACCCCAATGGGATGTACAATCTGTTGTTTCTACCATCTTTTTTCTGTTCTCTCCATCCTTTAGTCCTGCCATATATCCTCAACTACTTTTCTCTCGTACATTATTATACTCCCTGGCAAAACCCCAGCCCTGGTTAAATCCACCTTCCTCTCTTTTCTGCCTTATACCTGTGCAGTTGACTACAGTAGATGAAATGGAGAAAAACACACAGCCATGGTGTCTGGTTTCACCTTAAATCCCTGACCTGTAACTTCAGGTGGATCTTTTGTGCTGCACCACAATCCCACTGTCCTCTCCCAGTCCACTCAGACTTGCATTCTGCAAGGTGTCTAGCTTCTTCCTCCTCAACTTCAACATCTCCTCTATGCTCATTCTCAGCAGATGACCTTGTTCCCATTTCACTGAACGTTGTAGTGAAAATCCATGAACACCTGCCTCAGAGCTACAAATCTCCCAGCATCTGAGTCTGTGTTCTCCTCTTGTTTCTTCTAGGATGGCTGAGCTGTCCTTGCTTCTGTCTAAGGCCAAGCCCTCCATGTGTTCACTGATCCCTGTTCCCTCATTCATTCATTCCCCCCTTTCTATTTTCTGTCATCAGTATTGCTCTGATTTCTAGATCTTTCCCATCAGTGCATAAATATCGTGTTATTTCTCCCATATTAAATATACAGTGCTTTAATCTGTTTGCCTCCAGCTCTGCCTCATTAGCCTCATTCCTCAGCTCCTCTTTAGAATTCAATTCCCTTAGAGTTTTATACATTCCCATTCTCCAATTCTGTGGTTCTCCCATGCTCTCTTAAATGTACTCCAGTCAGGTGAAAGCCCCCTCTCCACCAAAACCCACTCTTTTTAGGGATACCTGAGTTGCTAACTCCAGGGGTCAATTCTCAGCCTCTTCCTTGGCCTGTTATCAACATTCGATATTGTTTGATTACTTCCTTGAAATTTTTTAAAAGATATTAATTAATTAATTAATTAATTTATTTATTTATTTATTTTTAGAGAGAGGGGAAGGGAGGGAGAGAAACATCAATGTGTAGTTGCCTCTCATGTGCCCCCTACTGGGGACCTGGCCTGCAACCCAGGCATGTGCCCTGACTGGAAATCAAACCGGTGACCCTTTGGTTGGCAGGCTGGCACTCAATCCACTGAGCCACACCAGCCAGGGCTGAAATTTTTTTTTACTTGCAGAAAATACACTGTCCTGTTTTGCCTTCTACCTCACAGCTATTCTTTCTCTGCCTTCTTTATTTCTTTCCCAAACTCTAAATGCCAAAGGGTCTCAAGACACAGTCCTCAGACCTCGTCTCTATCTGCACTCATTCTCTAGGTATCTCTAGGTATGCTGGAAATAGTAGCTTCTCTGGGGCACAGATGGGATTGCACGTGTCTTTCTGACCCGCATTCATGACTTCCAGCACTAGTCTCCGTGTCGGGCAAGCCCCAGTGCAAGTTTGGTCAAACCAACAGCTGAATGATTTTACTGCAGGAGTGAGTGCTAAGAGCTGTATAAATAAGGCAGAGATAGAGGTGCCACCTGGAGACTTTTCTTCTGGGGAGTGACTTCTGAGTGGCTTCTGTTCTTTGTGCTTTCCTCAGGAGACCAACAAGAAGATAGTCCATGCGAAATACTGTAGCAGATTTGTCCATGTGCCCTGGAAGGATGGGAGCTTGGTCCACGTCTGCATTACCAAGGAGAAGTGCACATGGTACAGTGAGAGAATTCATGCAGTCCTGGCTCAGATCCAGCAGAGGTTGGTGTGTTTACAGGATGGTGCAAGTGCTCTAGTCTCTCTTGAAATTCAAGTCTGTTTGATCTCTTTGTAAAGCTTAACCAAGAGAAATGGCCAGTAAACATATTAAGTCAAGGTTGCCACCTGATGGTTTGCTAGTAGCCTTGTTAATAACAAAGGGTGACGTTTGGATTCTGACTCTGGAAAACAGCAAACAAAAATGGAATTATTATGGTGGTTGCATATCACCATAGAAAGCTAAGGAACGCTTCTCCTCATGTCTTGAATTTGTTTTTGGCCACAGGTATTGAGACTGTATTACATCTGTCCTCTGTACTCTTGAATATATTTGATTTCAGGGTAACTGTCACAATGTGAAATATCTGAATATAGTGGAAATATATATACAGGGTCTGACACAAATAACACCCCTTTTTATTGCAAAATCTTTTATTACAAAATCACAAGGGTGTAATTCTATAACATAACAATATCACACTCAAGCACACCATGTGACATTTTAGGTGAAATGTTCAAATTCAAACTATAAATTATTACACCCATATTATCACCCTACCAACCACACTCAAGCAGGCCTTACTTCTGCCAGACCCTGTATGTATTACAAATCAGCTAAAAATAACTCTATGTGATCCTTCTCAACCCTGCTATTTCCTAAGATCTGGTAAGGCTAATGAATCTGGTGTACTAATACTGTAACCTCAACCTCAGACGCATGGGGATGATCTACCTTCGGGCTTTCACCTGGCAATGCCAGGGGACGGCTTCGGATCATGAAGACCAAGTCCATTTAGGTGCATGGGCTCTGAGGTCAGATAGAGCTGGAGTCTAGTCCCAGCTCTGCTACCTGCTGCATGACTCTGGGCAAGTTAGTTATTGTTTTGGGTCATCAGTTTCCTCATTTATAAAGTGGGAATATTAATACCATTTAGAAATGTATTCTATGGATTAGATTAGATACTAAATGTGATAAGTGTAGGCCAGTACCCAGCCTGTAGTAGCCACTTGGAAATGAGAATTTCCTCCTTTCTTCTGTGTCTTCTATTATAAAGCTTCAAGCTGCAGACATCTGTCTCCACATTAAGCCTTCAGAGCCCCAGCTTCTCAAATCCAGCTGGTGATGGGTTACTCAGAAAAAGTAATCCTCATGTGTGGAGTCTTTTCTGCTTATAGTTTTAGGGTTGATTTGGGGGGAGAGTAGTTGGGATTTCAGATCTGGGGAAAAGGATGCTGCTTAAAGACATTGCACCTGGCAGCTGCCAGGTCATTTTGTCCCTCTCATTGCACCAGGTGTCAAGGGTTGTTGGAAAGTTTTCTCTCCTCTATTGTCTGTAGAGAATTGGTATCATCTCTCCCCTAAATATATGTGGAATTCACCATTGAAGCCATCTGGGCCTGGAGTTTTTCTCTGTGGGAAGGTTTTTAACTATGTACTCAATTTCTTTAAATACTCATAGAGGTGATTTTGGTAATTTATATCATTTTTATTTTCTAATCAGTCTGGCTAGAGGTATTCCATTTAACTCATCTTTTCAAAAAACCAGCTTTCAGTTTCATTGTTTTTTTTCTCTATCGGGTTTTCTCCTTTCTGTGCCATTTTTCTTTCTCCTCATTACTTTAAGTTTTTAAAGATACTTATATCACAGATTTGAGAACTTTCTTTATATATAAGCAAGCACTTGTGTAATCTTTCTTCTGAGTATCTCTTTAGCTGCCTGCCTCTCACAAATTTTGAAATGTTTTATTTCCTTTCATTCAGTACTCTCCAGCAGTTTGTTCTACAAATTCTTATTGCCTAGGCCTTGCTGAACTCTGAACTTGATTTCAAATATTTTTCCATTGGACTGTCCCTCCCCCTGGCTTTGCCTGCAGCTGTGAATTTAATTTTGCACCCTGTGATGACAGCCTAAGCCTGTGCCACGGAAGCTGTGCTGCTCAGACAGCTGCCTGGCACTTTGTTATTACAGGGACCTGGGGTGGCCTGATGTTGAACATATGTGGCACTGACACATTAGGAACATGCTGGCATTACTAGCGTGACTGTGGTCACCAGGGCTAGGAGACCAAAGGGTCTGAAGTCATAGCTGAGGGATGACTGGAAATAATTTACTCTCAGATGATGGGAAATAATTTACTTTGACTTTGGAACCCAGTGTTGGATTTATTTTTCTGCTCTGTTAATTTTCCTAGTTCTGTTTTACTTGGATTGATGATGGATAGAGGAAGGGGCTGATGAGGGAGTCAGCTCCAGTGTAGGATTTTCCACAGAAACCTGTCAAAGTGAGTGATTAGTCCATTCACAGAAGATTGTATATGAACAATACAGCACAGCTCTGGCCTCCATAGGTGCATCACTCAGTTCTTAGGAAGATGCTTTCCTTCCACAGGCTCCAACCATTCACTTTCAAACTATTTCCTGCCTAGGATTAAGTGGCTACAAGATGGAAGTCAAATCCTTTTTGGGAAAGTGTCTAATGATTGCATCTACATCCTCATTGATACATCTCACTCAATGAAGGGCAAACTGGACTTGGTGAAGGACAAGATCATCCAGTTTATACAGGTTAGATGGAGCTATCAGTTCACCCATCTGGGGTCCTGTGTATCATGACAGTATCTCCACCGATCATCATCTGTTCTGGTTAGGGGAGGTGCACAGGCGAGGTTTGCAATCAAGTATCCACAGGAAAGCCATTGTAGGGAAAACTCCCTTTTGTCAGTTAGAGAATCATCATTTCCCCTTTGCAAGCAGACCTCCCTTTGATGGGACCTTCCTGCAACACCCGGGTTACCGAGGGAGTGTCTGTGTCCACTGCTGCAGGCTATCTCTATCCTGAAGTCTGTGGTGTGCACACACCTCCACGGTTTTGTCTTTAGGTTGTCATTTGAATTTTAATTTCCAATATTTATGAGGGGTGGTGTCTGCACACAGGTCCAGCATTGATGGTCAGGAGCCTCCTGCCCTCATTCAGCCTGTGCCGCCTCTGAATTGCAGGGCCTGAAGCAGACAGCCCCTGTTTCCTAACTCCAAGTTCCCACACCTGGAAAGGGGCAACACAGTGCTGTCATGAGTCAGTATTATTGATGTATTATCCACAGAAAATAATTGTGGGGAGTGTTGACAACTAGAAAATACAACTTTTAATTTGGTAATCCTCTGCTGGAGAAATATGGGCTGATGGAAGGCAAGTAAATAGTTATATAATGTAATAAGAGCCTTACCAAAAAGGTGATGACCAAAATGTAACACTGTTCTGGATTTCTTTTTCTTAAGCATATTGCATTTAGTGTGCATATGTGATATATCATTAATCAGTATTAGAAATAACATTTAATGTCACATTATATATATTGGTATTAACTTATGTATGTCATACATAATATATATTCATGCATATATACATTTGTAAAGTTTTAGTATTCAAACTATGTATAAATTTTACTTAAATGTCTTTTGTACTAGAAAAGATTTTCCCTATTGAATGTAAGTTTTAGCTTCTAGAAGAGAGAATACATATTATAGTAATTACAATTTATCAAAATGATCTGTCCTAATATTTTCTTACATTTGAGTGGTTTGATGGTTAAATAATAATTGTCTCTTACAGGAACAGCTGAAATTTAAAAGGAAATTCAATTTTGTGCAGTTTGCCACTCAAGCAGTTGCTTGGCAGGAAAAACTTGTTGAAATCAATGAAGACAATTTGAAAGGGGCTCAGTCCTGGGTTAGAGACATGAAGGTAAGATGGAGTCTGGGCTGGGAGAGGCGGCCGGACTTGACCACCTGCTGAGGTCATCCTGGAGAGAAACGCTTGAGGAAGGGTTTGCGGCTTTGAGCTGCAAAGATGGCAGTGGCTTCACATAGACACTCATTTGGTTTATAAAGATTGTGTTAACCAAGCGATTTTCAATGGTGTGCACAGGATTTTTAAAACGTGCAGTACCTGGCTATTTAGCCAGGGGCACTGACCTCTTTTCCCTTAGGCTGTCAAATTAAAAAATGACCGCAGCCAATACAACAATAGCCGTCTGGTGTGAATGAATCAAATTTATACCTATTTTTTGTCAGATTGGCAAAATATATCTCTTGGTGTGCTGCAGAATTTTAGTAATTAGTTTGTGTGTGCCATGAGAGGAAAAAGGTTGAACATTGCTGCATTAACCCAATTTCTTTAGTCAGTATCTCCACTAGGGCTGTGGGCCTCTCAGCAGTTCTGAGCCCAGCACCTAGGCCTGTTCTTCCCGTCCCTTCCTCTTTCCTTCCTCCAGCTGTCCTGGGTTTTCACCTGTGCCCTAAGGGTGACATGTTTCTGCCCTTCTCTCCACCTCCCCATCACACACAGTTTAAGGCTTTTGTTTTATAGGGGAGATACAGGCGAGGGGGGTCTCTGGAGATTCAGGTTCCACTGTCCCTCTTCCCCAGTCCTGCCCCACGAAGGAGGCTTTCCTGGGACTCTCCCAGTCTTTTCTGTGAGCGCTCTGGGGCTTGTGATGAAAAAGCCTCCAAGAGAGCATGGATTCCCTCTGCAGTCATGACATCCAGGCCTTTACCCGGTAGCCAGTATACACCAGGGCAGCCTCTGACAGTTCACCAACCATCCCAGGGAAACTTTTCTTACAAGTGTCTGGCTGCATCCTGTTCCAGAAGGCCAGTGCATGGCATCTTGCCTGACTCTGACGGTGCCCGTCTCCCCCCACGTTTGGAGCCAGTTGGCTGCCCTGTGACCTGAGCACTCCAATGGGTGTAACAGCAGTTCCCTGCTTGCTGTTTGTCTCGCTGTTCTTTCATTATGAGTTTTGGAGTGACACTCTTGCCAGTGCTCCATGTTCCTGGGCAGAAACTGTGGGAGTTTTTAAATTTACAATTTCTTTGTTGTACCTCCAGGTTGCTAATGATACCACATTTGTGTTTGCCAAATCTTGGGTGTTGTGAATCAATCCTTGTTTGAAACAAACATGATCCCTGCCAGAGTGTAGTCAGGCTGCGTGTTGAACCTGTGTTGACAGCTGAATGAACGGTAACTGGCTTAGTTCCTCCCATAGAAACACAGAAAGGTAGAATTGCATTAAGAGCTCTGTCGTCAGGACAGACGTGCACAGCCCTGCTGCCCAGCAGTCTTGGGACCAGCAGGAGGCAGGCCTTGTGCCATACCCAGGGGGTTGGCTTCTTGGAATTCTGGGCTTAAATTATTATCTCAATATAGTTTTTAATGTAGCTTTTATTTCACAGGTACTTTCTTTTTTGGAAGCAGTAAACATTTGTTTGAGATCTTTCTTGAGATTCAAGTGTGTGCTTGGTATTCTTTTCTATAGACTGGGAGTTCCACAAACACTCTGAGTGCCCTGCAAATTGCTTTTGCTGATAAGGAAACACAAGCAATCTACCTTTTGACAGATGGGAGACCTGATCAGGTACTTATCAAAGTTAGGGACAAAGAGGGACTCACCAATACCCTGCAAGTCAATGTCAGGAATGGGTTTGGGGACTTTTTGAACTGTCATCTGACAGCTGTTAAAAGATGTTTCCTTGGCTGAGGCTTGCAGAACTGAGGTGAGAAAATATACAGAGGAATTCCTTTGTCTACTGAAACACAGAGGGACAACTCGTATGACCCTGAGTGTTGTCTGGCTGGTGTGCCACATGCCTTTAGGACCGGAGAACGCTCCGGAGAACCTCCTCCCATGCGAGGAGGCCTCCACCTGCCACTGAAGACTGGTTTATATTTTATTATAAACTAAGAGAAGATTCTTGTTGATTTTTTTCCTTTGGGAACACTGAATTTAAACATGTCACTGCATAATGGCCTTGATTTTATGCTTAATTTCAACTTAGTGATCATTTAAACAAAAGCATGCCTTTCTAGTTGAATGTTCTTTGTTTTGTTTAGCCTGACTGAAACATTTTTTAAAGTTTTAGCAGAGTCTATTCATCTTTGAGCTTTATGAATGACAGACTAATGCTCTGGGTGTTAAAGAAATATACAGATTTATAGGCCAGTACAATGTAAATTAACCACTAAAGCAAATTAGTACCAACTTGTTTCCTTCATTGGTAGGTGTTTGCATATGAAGACAGCTGGACAAATAGTATAAAATATCATGTGTCCTATGGTCCAGGGATTAAACAGTAAAGCAACGGGATTTACTGCAGCATTAGATGTATTATGGCAGAGAAATTGTATGTAAAGTAAAATTTTATTTGGAATGGTTTTCCCATCAACTTCACTATACTTTCTCTTCAGAAGCAATGTATTGTACCCTGTTTATGTTCTATGTGTAGTGTCAAGGTTTTAGGCTGCAAAGATGAGTAATATCCCTGCCTGCAGGAAGCTGACACTTTAGGGAGCATGCTAGGCATGTACAGTTAACTCAGACATGATATGGAGACTGGGCTTGCTTGTGCTATGAGATGTCTGGGAGTATATAGTGATGAATTTTGCTGTACGAGATAGAGAGACAACCACACAAGTTTCCGCCAAGGAAGGGACATTTCCAGCGATGTCTGGAATAAGGAGAAGGAGTTTTATAAGAGATGACTGGCATTCTGGGTTGAAGGAACAGAGGGGCTGTTCAGAGAAACAATGTGAGGAATAAGGGCAATGATGGAAGAGTGTCAGGGCAGAGTCTCCAAAGTTAGGTTGGGGAAGATTGCAAAGGTCCTTGAATGCCACATGGAAAGGATGATTTTACCACAGGCTGGGGGGCAGGGGGTGGGGATCTTGTGCTCAGAGGAGCATATGGTTCTTTCCATCTGTATTTTAGAAATATGCCTGCTTAGCACCAGGGAAACACTAGATCTTGATATACTGGTATGGGCCCAGCTTGGATAGGAGCAGCAGAAAGGAGGGGAACCCCTTCTCCCCCTTCAGAAATGAGATCATAGAAATAGCCTCAAAGGACTCGATGACTAATTTGGGAGAGGTTTGGGGGGCAGAGGAAGGAGAAGAGGGAGCAAAGGAGAAAAAGGTCAAGATGACTGATTTATGATCATGTTATTAACTGATTAGAATTTAAAAAGGAGCAGGTTTGGGGGTTGCTGAGAGACGAAGCTAAGTGGGAGAACTCGTAGTCTGTGGATGTCCAGAAGCTCTGAGAAATAGGGGCCAGATATGTTTATTTGAAAGTCATCTGGATAAGGGGTCCTTTTCTTTTTAGTAAACTTTCACTAATTGTATTGCAATTTAGAAAATACAGGTAAGCATAAGCATAAGAAAGAAGAAAAATTAGATAATTCATAATTCAGCTTTGCATCCTGCTTTTTTCTAATATGTGGAGTTTTTTCAAATCATGAGAAGTTCTTTAGAAATAACATTCTCAATGAACCATATTCCATTATACAGATTTAATAAACATTAATTATGTTTACTTAATTTTTGAATAGTAATACATTTACATGGTACAAATTACAAAGGAACAAAAGGATATATAGAGACAATTCTCCTTTCCACCCCCCGTTCACCAGTTAAGAGGCAATGTGTATTACCAGTTTCCTGTATCTCCTTCCAGAGATAGTTTGTTTGCAAGCATGTAAGTACTTATACACGTTTCCTTTAAAAAATATGCAAATGATACCATGTTCAACACACAATGCTGACCTTTATTAAAAAAACAATTTACCTTAGAGATTGCTTATTATCATTTCAGAGAGAGCTTCCTCATTTATTTTACAGCTGTCTACCATCCTATCACAAGGCTATTGAGCTATATCCCCTGAAGATAGACATTTAAGTTGTTTTCAATCTTTATACACAATGTTGCAAAAGTAACTGCATATATATCATTTTGCACATGTATGAGTATATCTGTAGTGCAATTTCTGAAAGGTGCACTCAGTCAAAATGGTATATGTTTTCATAGATACTGCCAAATCACACCCACCCCCCAACTAAGAAGATACACCGAGTAATATTCCTGCTAGCAAGGTATTGAGAAGGCACAGATTTTCCAAAACTATATCACAAGACAGTTGTGAGGATTAACATTGTGCCTCAACAGAGTGCCCAGCTCACAGAAGGGCTCTTAATGTCTCTTTGTTTGCTCTCTGTGGGAGACACATTGTCCATGTCTTGTCTGAAGCTGGAAAATGCTCTTTTGGTGGAGACCTTTAGGAGCCACATAAAGGTCCAGTGACCACACCCAGTAGCATCCTGATTGTCGGGATGTTCTATTCATGGCTTCTTACTGCAATACTTTAGGGAGGCCTAATGCATAGCCCATGACCTTGAGAGCATGGCTTCTAAGTTTAGGTGCACCTGAAGCTGGGTGACTTGGTTAGCCAAATCTTTCTCCAGATTCTTCTTCCCACCCTCACAGGGCAAGGGCCATGTCATGGGTCTCTGTACTCTGTCAGTGTTTGCTTCCCTTACTGAACTGAACTGACATCTTTCCAAGATGCTACTCACTGCTATATACTGTAGGGCATTACTAGTTGAGGTTTCACTCTCCAGAGCAAATACTAAGGGATTTAACATTTTATTTTTTGCTTTCTCCTTTTCTCTCTTTCCATGTCCTCTCTACCCCAACCCCACCTCAAAACTTATCATTTTAGCCACCCGAAATGGTTATAGACCAAGTCAAAGTGTTTCAGAAAATTCCTATTTATACCATCTCCTTCAATTACAATGACAAGATTGCAAATGACTTTTTGAAAGAACTTGCTTCTTTGACTGGAGGAGAGTTCCATTCTTACGGATTTGGCTTCAAGGATCCCTGTCCTTCAGAGGCTGTTCAGGTAAGAACTTGATGAGCTGAGAAGAGTTTTCACTCAATTGAACATTGCAGTCTGGAGGCCCATGGACAATGCCTTAATTGGGAAAACAGCAACCATGGATACAATTAAGCTGAGCAAATGAATCACTTAATAATAGGAGTACCAGTGTTTCTCAAGGGCCATCTGAGCTAAAGACACTTGTTAAAATGCAGATTCCTGGGTGCTACTTCAGAGTCACTAAATCAAGCTCTAGGCATAGAGGCCCAGGAATCTTAACATATTTGGTGTTCTTCTAAGCTTTTTTTCTTGTGGAAAGTTTCAAACTTACAAAAGTAGAAAAATATATGGACCTCCATGATGTGTGGGTCACCAGCCAGCAGTGATCACAGAACGCTGCGGATGGCTGGTCGAAATGCGAGAAAAACATGCACAGAGACAGACTAGTTTCTGTGGAGAAGTAGGGACAGAACGGCCACCCCCTCTAGTGGGGAGTGCGCCGATTTACCGTCCAAATTGGCTTTTATTGGGTTCATTTTGCATAAGAATTCAGGTAAAGCACATTACTCATTGCGAGGAAGTAAGGATCAAACAATAGGTAACAAAGAACTCTGAGGGTCTATTTTGAGTCAGGGTCAAAGAGCTGTAAGACTTTAAGGAACAAACTAACTTCCTCCTTGGACCCTTCTCATTCAACTGAGAGCATTCTAAACAAAGAAGGTTTCACAGGAATTTACATGTTCTTTCTTAGGCCTGGTCACCCGGGAATCCGCCCTTTCCAGCACAGGGCGGCACCACCCTATCATTGTTTCAGGCTTAGGTGGAGCAAGGGAAGTAAGGCAGCCAAGGGATTAAGAGATTTTCTTGCAGAGCAGGAGGACTCAGGCTTTGTCAAAGCCAAAAGGTGAGAGGCCATCACCCCCTTTTGCCGTAGCCTCCAAAGTCCTTCTTTTGGGGGCCTCCCATGTGATTGTGCCTGTCTTAAGTTGTTCCCCCCTTGGAGAATCTTACCCATCATTGGCTAACCGACCAAGCATTGGGGTCCAGGCAGGGTGAGGTATGAAGGAGCAGAGGCGGCACTCCTGTCAGGGAGATAAGCTTGTTTCCTTGCTGGCTTACAGTTCCAAGGGCATTCCCTTAGCCTTAGCCTAGGTGGGGGTTACAGCTTCTGATACCAGGCAGGGTGGTTCCCAACACCTCCATGTACCCATCAGCCACATTTAACAATTATCAACATTTTACCAAATTTCAGGAATCTGTGTTTTTAACAAGCAGCCCTGGGGATGCATATGTGAAATCTGTTAACCACTGCTGTTTGTAGGCATTTGTGGGAAACTTTCAAAAAAATTCAGATGCTAGGTAGTCGTCTTCTAACTTCTTTGACTAAGTAACCATTTAACCAGCTGACAAAACAATTCATTCTAATGTGCTAATAGGAGGAAGTAAAGTTCTATTTCCTAATCATCCAATCTTGGCCTAAGGATATACATTTTAAGAACACCCTTCTAGAGACTGTGTTTCTCAACTTGTTGTCTGTCTTGAAGAGTGACTTTAAAACCAGGTCAAACCAGAGTACTAATTAGTGCTTGCATGTGAGGAAACTACTTGAGTCTGGGGAATGAATCATCCAAAAGGATTGACTGGAGGCAGTATAACTCGGAATTCACACAGACCTGGAAATAGTGACTACTCCCATAAACTAGACTAGAAAAGCTTATAATCCCCTGGTCCTTGGGTAGATAAACAAAAGGGTGTTGCATCAGTGTTGGGAGCAACCTAACACTGCTCCAGTTCTGCCTAGAAAATCTTACACACAAGAACTAAAAGGATCAAATTTCTTCCAAGGAACTTAACTGCATTCATGAACAAACTTCAAGAGCTCACCTAGTTATAGGAAAGCAAAAATACCCACCACCCAACAAAGTAAAACTGAAAGATTTTTGGCATCCAATCAAGTAGTACCAGGTATGCAAAGAAGCAGGAAAATACAGGTCCATAGTGGGGAGAAAATGTAAACAGTAAAATAAAAACATACCCATAACTGACTCAGATGTTAGTATCAGTGCATTAAAAGTTATTATAGTTGTATTTGTTCTGCTCACAAAGTTAGGGAGAGACAAGGAAGATACATGTAAGACACAAATCAAACTTATAAAGATGAACCACAATGTATGAGATGAAAAATACATGCAATGGGATAAACAGCAGATCATACATTGAAGAACCAAGATTAGTGAACTATAAGGTAGCAATAGAAACTATCCAAAATGTAACACAGAGAAAAAAAGAATTAAAATAAACACAAAGAAAAACAGGCATCCATGAGCTGAGGAAAAATTCAACTAGCCTATTAAATGTGCAATTGAAGAAATAGTGGCTAGAGATTTTCCAAGTTAGATTAAACATATAAACCCACAGATTCAAGAAACATAAAGAAAAGTACATCAAGTCACATCAGAATCAAACTTCTCAGAAACACTGACAAAGAAAAAAAATTAGAGAGAAAGAAAGCACATTATGTACAGAGGAAGGATGTTCATAGGATGTATAAAAGGATGACAGCAGTTTTCTCATCATAAACAATGCAAGTAAAAATACAGTGGAGTAACGTTTATTTTAATTGTTGTTCAAGTAGTTTTCTGCCTTTTACTCCCATACCAGCTGCCCCCCTGCCCTACCCACCTCCCTCCCATTTCCACCCCTCTTGTTTTTGTCCATGTGTCCTTTATACTTGTTCCTGCAAACCCTTCCCCTTTTCCCCTGAAATTCCCTCCCCTCTCCCCTCTGGTCACTGTCAGCCTGTTCTCTGTTTCAGTGTCTTTGTTTGTTTTGTTGATTATGTTTCTGTTAAAGGTGAGATCATATGGTATTTGTCTTTCACCACCTGGCTTATTTTGCTTAGCATAATGCTTTCCAGTTCCATCCATGCTGTTGCAAAGGGTAGGAGCTCCTTATTTCTTTCTGCTGCATAGAATTCCATTGTGTAAATGTACCATAGTTTTTTGAGCCATTCACTCACTGATGGGCACCTAGGTTGCTTCCAGCACTTGGATATTGTAAATTGTACTGCTATGAACATTGGGGTGCATAGGTTCTTTTGGATTGGTGTTTCAGGGCTCTTAGGATATAATCCTTGGAGTAACATTTTTAAAGTACTCAAAGAAAAACTCATCATTTTATAACCTATATGTTGTGGAGATATCTTTCAAAAGGGAAGGTGAAGTAAAGACTCTTAAAAATATACAAAAACCTAAATAATTCATCACCAATAAACCTTCAGTAAAGAAATGTTAAAGGGGGTGACTTCTGGCAAAGATGGAGGCATACATATATACTAGGTCTCCTCGCAATACTAAAAGAAGGACAACAACAAATTTGAAGAGAAAAAACAACAAGAACTTCCAGAAAATCAAACTATATGGAAGTCCAATAACCAAGGAGTTAAAGAAGAAACATTCATTCAGACTAGTAGGAGAGGTGGAGACAGACAGCTGTCTTATAGTGGATATACAGCAAGGCGTTGGCTGGCTGACCAGGCAGTCCCACATTTGCATGCAGATAAACCAGAGGGAACAACTGGGGCATGAGACAGACCATGCAACCCAGGGTTACAGCACAGGAATTTATTGAAGGAAATAAAGCCTCAAAACCTCTGGCTGTAAAAACCTGTGGGGGTTGTGGCAGATGGAGAACTCCCAGCCTGACAGGAGAGTTTGTTAGAGAGACCCATAGTGTCCTACAATGCACACAAACCCACCCACCTGGGGAATCAACATCAGAGGGGCCCAATTTGCTTGTGGGTAGAAAGGGAAGTGTTGAAAGCCAGCTTAGAGGCAAGCAAGTAGCATTGTTCCCTCTTGGACCCCTCCCCCACATACAACACCACAACCAGGAAAGTGGGTTGCCCTGTCTTGGCAAATGCCTAAGGCTCCGCCCCTTACAACATGACAGGTGTGTTGAGACAAAGAAATATGGACCAAATTAAAAAAAAAAACAGATCAAAACTCCAAAGAGATAGTCAACTTATCAGATGCAAAGTTCAAAACACTGGTAATCAGGATACTCACAGAAATGGTTGAGTATGGTCACAAAATAGAGGAAAAGTGAAGGCTGTGCAAAGTGAAGTAAAGAAAAATATAAAGAGAACCAACAGTGAAGAAAGGAAACTGGGATTCAAATCAACAATTTGGAGCAGAAGGAAGAAAGAAACATTTAGCCAGAACAGAATGAAGAAACAAGAATTCAAAAAAAATGAGGAGAGGCTTGGGAACCTCCAGGACAGCTTTAAATGTTCTAACATCTGAATCATAAGGGTGCCAAAAGGAGAGGAAGAGTGAGAGCAAGAAATAGAAAACTTATTTGAAATCATAATGAAGGAGAACTTCCCTAATCTGGCAGAGGAAATAGACTTCCAGGAGGTCTAGGAAGCTCAGAGAGTCCCAAAGAAGTTGGACCCAAGGAAGCACACACCAAGGCACATCATAATTAAATTACCCAAAATTAAAGATAAGGAGAGAAGCTTAAAAGCAGCAAGAGAAAAAGAGCACTTACTTATAAAGGAATTTCCATAGCTGATTTCTCCAAAGAAACCTTGCAGGCAAGAAGGGCTTGGAAAGAAGTATTCAAAGTCTGAAAGGCAAGGACCTACATCCAAGATTACTCTATCCAGCAAAGCTATCATTTAGAATGAAAGGGTAGATAAAGTGCTTCCCAGATAAGGTCAAGTTAAAAGAGTTCATCATCACCAAGCCCTTATTATGAGACATGTTAAAGGGATTCATCTAATAAAAAGAAGATCAAAACTATGAACATTAAAATGATAACAAACTCACAACTATCAATAACTGAACCTAAAAGCAAAATCAAAAACAAATAAGCAAACATCTAGAATAGGAACCAAATCACAGAAATGGAGATCACATGGAGGATTATCAGTGGGGAGGGGGAGGGGGGAAAATAGGGGTATGGGAAAAGGTGTAGGGGATAAGAAGCATAAACGGTAGGTACAAAAGAGACAGGGGGAA